ATAATTACATTCTTATCTTATTAATTGTCTACGAGAATTGAGTAGTTAAATAGTTTAAGAATATATATAGTTATCGCTATACGAGTAGGTTAGTTACAATTTAATTAGTGATTAGACAAGGATGCTAATCTGCTAAAATTATATATTCGAAAACAAATAATCCCCATTTCTTTTGGCAGCACATTGGGATTGGGATCGAAGGCAAACAAAACTGAAAAAGCTTAACGTCCAAAACGCGGCAAAATTAGGTTTTGAAAACGGACACATGGCAAGAGCCCATGTTCACGTAAACGCCAGGTTCTGATTTTGGTTCTTGTCTTCGTGTTTGATGACAGAGATTGGTTCAAAGTTCAAACCGAGTGGAAAAGATTCATTGAAACTCTTTGGAATGTCTCTCTCACTCAATGCTTTTCTCTTGTAATATTTCTCTTTCGTCACATAGAATTTGTTTTTTAGGTTTTTTAGAAGTTGTTACTTGTTTTAGACGTAGAATTTGTATCTAGAACATAAAAATTAGTAAGCAGGAAATATTAATTGAATGTAAATAATACGCGCACAAAAAACTTCAAACGCAATTAGTATTAATTTTTTTTCAAGTGTTTTTCTCGTTTCATTGTTAATATTTTTATTTGCTAAATAAATCAATCGATTTTTTTTCCCTAATTTCACGATTAAATTGAATTTTATCTTTATTTGGTATTCAAAATATGAAAAGAGAAGTGACAATGCATAAAATTGAATAAACTGTATTTTTATTAAAAGTACTAACTAATGATTGACAACAAAAATTATTAACTAATAAAATAAACAACGTGCATAATTTTTTTAAAATTAATTAGTTGTGGTAAAGTTCTTAATAAAATACTTAGTTAGTTTAACTAATTCTGTTACCGGCCAGGATATAGCAATTAATTCATCAAAATGTATAAATAACTTTAGAAAATATATTTTAAAGCTTTTAACAATTAATGTGTACATAGTGAACCAACAAAATATTTTACAAATATATTTATGTTACAACTATACATAAAATCTATACACTAGTCTATAATCATCATAATTAAAGTTTTTCCCCATTTCCACTTGATTCTTTAGCTTGTGACTAAACCACCAATCTCTCTCAGCTCTCCACAAAAAGAAGACAACACACACGAAAAAACTTCAACTTTTTTTTATTGTTGTCAGAACTTTTTAATAAATTTTCATTAGAGAATTCAATTCATATAAACTCCAAACTTTTTCTCCTCACCGTTCAACTCCAACAGTACTTTTTGCGTGACGTTTGTGGTACAAACCATTCTCTCTCTGCAACT